ATTTCAATATTTTTTGCCCTTTGACCACTCTGGAAAATTTGTACAAATGTGATGACTGTAGGAAGTCAATAACTAATCGATCCCAGGTTTGGGGGGGAAAACTGGAATCTTTATTGAACACGCATCTCACAGTTTAAGGGTCTTGGGGGCAGGACATGTTAATGAGGAGGATGGATTATGCTAAATTGGGGATGGATTATGCTAACTAGGGGATTACACAATTTTCTGCTACAGTTACACAATTGGCTAATATTTCCTGTAACAAGGATTACATGAGAGGGAGAGAGAACAAAGGGGTTTCTACATGGCCTGATAACATCATCCCAAACTCTTTCCATATCTTGCTGCAGGAACCAAGCCAATCAACATAGTTAAATATCAATAGGTGTTGTGAGGAAGCATCTGATCCTCAAGTGGTGGGATTTCTTTCAGCCCCTGTTGTCCATGGCCTGCTACATAATCCTTTTGTGCTGATATCCGAGTTTCAGATTGCTACATCTCTGCCTTTTTTATTTTCTTGTTGTAAAACAAAAAGTCAAGAAAAACTTTGGTCAAACATTTGCTGGGTACAGGAAAGCAAACAAGGAACAAAATGCAAAAGAATACAAAAATTCCAAACAATGCCACAATACTTAATCTTTTCAACCATAGATCAATATTAAACATGTTCAGCTAGTTTAAACAAACTACCTAATCCATTCTCGTTGTTCTCTTTCAGCTGATAGGTAAGGCTTTTTAGTTTGTCGATGCCTGAACGATCACTGTTCCTTTCAGAATTTATTCTTATCTTTAAGCTATCTTTCTAAAAATCTTTATTAGAACTGGTTTATAAGGAAGTGACTTTGAATCAAATAAGTAACTTTGATGACTTAAAGGTTTGTGTGTTCCTTGGCTTTTAAATTTTACCTAAAAGTGTTTTTAATACAGGGTTTGTTCTTGAAAACCTTTATTCAATCTCTGCAAATGAACAACTCCATTCAACTCAGGGTCATGCACCTTCTGTTTTTCATCTCAGGGTGCTTATCTATATATGAGATAATGTGGTTTGTGTATTTTGTGAGCAAACCAGAACATACCAATGATTATACGTTCACACATTTACATGCTTTCGCACAAACTTTATCACATGATGGCCATCACCATGCTCTCACACAAATAGACTTTTGAGTTTTATTTTACTGTGTCTTCTACTTATGAAATGAGAAATTAGCGTTCTTGTTTGTTACCTGTAGATTAGCAATATCTAACTATGTGTTTCTTCGGTTCTTGAATTACTACTTTGATGAGAATATAACCTGTAAAACATAAACATATTTCTGCCTCATGTTCAATTTAAAATTCAAAAACGTATAATTCCTTTATAAGCATTCCTATAGTTCAGAGGTAATATACACTCCCCCTATTTTCAAAGCAAATATGCATCTCCCGATGTTAATTGGCTTTGGATCTAAGGAGAACTTGTCATAGGTATTACAAAACCTAGTAAAAATTTTCACAAACACAAAAACTTCATTCTACTAGGGACTGCCATCTAGGTGAACAATTTTAGAAAACAATTAGCAAGGTTACTCTTGAATTTGTTTACATTATTAGACATCATCACTTATTTAAACCAAGACTTGCTGATTGAAGTGTCTGAGCTAATTAATAAAATCTTTGTTATGTCCAGGCATTCATCTAAAAACAATTTTGGCTATTAGCTATGGAAGGATGTCTTCGTTGTTTGCTTTCTTCGCCTTTTCTTTTTTCCCTTGTTTGTCTGTCTTGGCTGGAGGTGAGGGGGGTGGGGTGTGCTTGTTTCTGGGTCTCTCTGCCGGCAGCGCTCTGCTTGCCATAGTTCGAAGCTGCTCACTTGCAGTCCTGCTGCAGTGTGACGAATTCTATGTGCGTTCCATTTTTTAAGTACAGCCATGCACCTCCACCGGGAGAGAAGGAGCCGCTTCTTCTTCCAATACCGTGTCAGCTCTGGACTGCAAGCTTAGAAATATTAGAAGCTGGGGCTCTCGACCTCACACACGGCGCCATTTGTAGGAGGTCAATAACTAATCGATCCCAAGTTTGGGGGTGAAAACTGGAATCTTTATTGAACACGCATCTCACAATTTAGGGTCTTGGGGGCAGGACATGTTTATGAGGAGGATGGATTTTGCTAAGCTGGGGATGGATTATGCTAACTAGAGGATTACACAATTTTCTGCTACAGTCACACAATTGGTTAATATTTCCTGTAACAAGGATTACATGGGGGGGAGAGAACAAAGGGGTTTCTACGTAGTCTGATATCATCATCACAAAGTCTTTCCATATCTTGCTGCAGGAGCCAGGCCAATCAACATAGTTAAATATCAATAGGTCTTGTGAAGAAGCATCCGATCCTCGGGTGGTGGGAATTCTTTCAGCCCCTGTTGTCCATGGCCTGCTACATAATCCTTTTGTGTTGATGTCCGAGTTTCAAATTGCTACAGATGACCTAAAGTCTTCGACTTTACCACAGATGTCTGGGCGGTGTTCTGAGACCCAGACTTCTGTTCAGTCCCAAACTGTTGCCAAGATATTCCAGGCCAGCTGAATGCAGAAGTGGACTTGCAGCCAGATGTCCGCTGACAGCGCTGCTTGTGACTGCAGATTTGCTTCTATGGCTCTCCAAAAGGAGCTTGGTGTTGGCCTCTGCAAGTCTCTCATCAGCTCTGAAACATTAAGAAGCACACAGAGAGTCATCTTTGGCAGTAAGGCTTTTGCAAAGTTACCCTCCACGTCCTTGACTACTACTTGACTTCTAAAAGCCAAGGGCATTAAGAGTGTCCAAAACAAGCACATCCTTTGATCTGAGCTTGTTCAGAGGACCTGTGTTCTGCTTTCACACATTATGCTGGTGAGATGTAAAAAGGGGATTTTAGAAGGAAAATGCACAAGGAAAAAGGAGTCTTTTATTACCAGTCCAGAAAAGCATGGACTTACCTTTCCAGTTTCTTGGCTAGGCTTTTTCTGGTTTTTGCTTCCACCAGGTAGAGCTCTTTGTACTTTTCCACTTCTGCCTGGGTGGATTCTTTTTGAAGAGGTCTGTCTTGTTGGGTGTTTTTTATCCTGTCCAATTGACTTTTGAGATCTCTACTTCTTTCTTCTGTTTTCTCGCTGAATCACAATGATGGCTGCGAGGACTTGAGCTCTTTCATGCTCAAGAATCAAAAGCAGTCAATCTGCTAGGCAGAAAAAATGGATGTGGTTCTTATTGTGAGTGCATAAGAAACCAAGACACCAGCTATGCATCAGTAAACCAACAGGTAAGTGCAATGTGCTTGACATCCATTTCATAGAGTTTATGAGTTTACATTCCCACTGCAAGGAACATGTTTTCACATCTGAAGCGGGGGATGGGAAACCATAGACTCACTGTGAACACTGAATGATTTCCAGAGCCTCTCTATAGCATTTCATCCAAATCCGGTAATTTTTGATTAAAGAATCACGGTGCTCCTCCATTACTCTGGAAAGGGGATCCTGGTCTGTCGGGAGTGAGGACATTGCTGCATATGAAAGCTGGAGAAAGTAAGAAGAAATATGTGACCCTCCAGAGGATGAAACCCCTGTATGAAATTGTCAAGAAGTTCAGACCCAATGCGTTTCAAGTTTTACAGTTGTGTCTAAATATTTCTTGTAGTTTTTCCCTTGTTTGTACCCTGAAATTGTTGTATGAAAAATGCCCTTGATTTCTGTATCCTTAGGCCTTACTGCCTGATTGGCCAAAGTTTTCTGCATTGCAGTATTTCCTTTTATGGCCACTCTTTCCCTAAAATGGATAAACCCTACCCCCTTTTTCCCTTATATAGTTACACTTTGCATGCTCCGCCCTAGCCCCTCCCTTTCTTGTAACAAATTCTATCCCTACCTTATATAAGCCTTAACCCACCTCCCTAAATGAGCCATTTTTTACACCCTCACCCCGAGAGTGGCAAACCTGTTATTCCCACAGGGACCGCGTCCCTGGTCCACATGAAGATTTTTTGAAGATCCAGCAGATCCACTTGTAGGTTTAGCAGTGGCTGGGGGGAAAACTGACAAGATTCCTGGTGTTACTTTTACAGCAGACAGGGCAAAATAAGGCACGGCAAGAACATGACAGGCAACATGAGAGACTGCAATCTAGACAGAGACTTTAAAATTTCCAAGGGAATATAACAACGGAAGGGCTAGGTGCAAAGGAAGAAACCCATTTTTTCCACAATTGCTTATCCGTCAACAGCATTTCTAAAGCAAGTGGAAGACATTCCGGGGGCTACACACTGCACACCTTCAGGCAATCCACAAATGAATCCTGTGCTAAACAGCGCCCTGTAGACCTCTTCAACCCAAAGTCTCTGCTTTCCTTTTATGTCCAAACCAGTGATTTATTGGCACACTACTACTACACAGCACCAGGCACTGCAAAGCAGTAACTGCTCTCTGGAGGAACAAATTACCATGGAACAGGTGCATTTCCTCTTTTGACAACTGGCCTCAAATTCTACAGCATGTTTTATGCTACGTACGACAAGCACTGAACTGATATTTGCTGAAAAAGTACTGAATAATCTTTCCCTAAAGACAGATTATTTTTTGTCACTGATCTTCTTGCTTATTCCAAAAAAGACTGCACCACCTAAGGTACCAAGACAAGCCATGAATCATAGAATCATAGTAAAAATCAGGAACCAACAGCAAAGAATGGGTATGGTACGGTTTAGTCCTGAATGCCATTGGTGTACATGGGAGGGGAAGTGATGGCTGAAGCTTATACTTATCTTGTGGCTGCTTTGCTGTTTGTGCTTGAGATGAACTCTAGTAAAGGGCAACTTCAGCTTAAGCCAAGGGTTTCTTTGTGCTTTTTTTCAGGCAACTGCATAACATTGTACGCCACATTTTTGGTAAGCAGGAAGTTTTCACTTTCAAGTCTCAACTGGAAGGCTAGCAGAAAAGAAAAACCAAAAACCTACTTATCACAGGAACTTGATAAAAATGGCTCGAGAGCTGTCAAGTGTTAGAAATAGTCACCTTTTTCCTTAAAAACCCTCCTAACATAATGACACATTACCTTGTTGAAGTTCTCTAGCGATTTTTGCATCCCTTTCCTGTCGTGCCTAGAATTATACAGAAAATACACAGTTAAGACATAGTATTTTCAGAGTTAAGAGGTAAGATTTCAGTTGATTAAGCCATTGTTTTACTCACACCCTTTCGAGGAAGAAAACTTTAGAACTTGATATGGTAGTAGAGTTCGAAGCAAATCCCAAGAAGACAAACTGTATATAGTGAGAGTGAACTATCCTCAACTCCTCTGTTGACAACAAACTAAATGTCTCCAGAAGTTGCAGTCAAGGTCAGAGAGAACTTCAGGGGACTAAGTCCTACCAACAAAAATGCAATAGGAAGGGGAAATGTTGGGGTCGAAGCAAGCCCCCAAACTAAGAAACAAAACCCCTCCAGACATCAGTCATTGAAGAGGGGGGGAATGTCATACATAGTTGTTCATCAACTTCCTTGAGAGTACGCTCAAGGCTCTGAGACACACATGGCCTGACAAGAAACTGTATGGGTGCTGTTGCAGTCAGGACGCTGAGTAAGAACAGTATCACCATTCTCAGATCTAGTGCATTCTTTTCTTGGAATCAACTCAACTGTTTTCCACAAGTAGATCTGGGCAGCAGTTGTTGCAAAGCATTGAAGCAGCCTATATAGCGATTTGAACTACACATCTGCATAAATTAGCAACTGGACAAAACAATGAGCCATGAAATAACCTGTAGAAATATTTAATTTCTGTAACATCCTTCAGGGAAGCCAGGAAAGCAGTGAAGGTTTCTGTCTTGATACTGACAAAACTTTGAGATGCCCAAAGTTTTCTTCTGGAAAATCACAATGGAAAGGACGAGCTGAAGACTGTTGCTGTAATTCAGTTTTAGGAAGCACTGGGTACTCCCACTGTCCTTCCCTTCACTGTCTGTTTTCCCTGTTCTTTTTCAAAAAAGACACAGCTGTCAATTCTTTCCTTTCCAACTAGGGCAGCTTTTTTCCTCAAACAGGAATGGTTTCCTCCTCTGCCTTTTCCTTGTTTTAACATCTTGCTGCCATCTCTCTGTCCTTTCTTTCCCTCACTTGTTCCGTGCTCCCTGCCCCTCCTGGTCTTCTCCTTTTCTCCCTTTTGCATTGGGTCCCTGAAGTTTGCTTCCTTTCTAGCGCTTGCCTGCAGAATAGTCCCTGCAGATGGTACAGCACTAATTACCTCACGAGTTCTTTCTGTAATGCCTGTCCACACCTCTGCCCTCAAAAACGTGTTCACAGCGGTACAGAAAAGTTCCTGTCTGTAACTGCCGCTGCTACGCATTACCTACACTGCTTGGCCCCTTTTCATCTCCTTGGTGTTTTTGTCTTCAATCAGGTGCTGTATGTAGACACCTTGTTGAAATGGGTTCTTTCCAATGGAGGTGAGGGGACCAGTGAACTGAGATGGACTTGAAAGTGAACAAATGCTTCTCACATTCATCCAACAACTAAACACACTAACTCAACAGAGAAGCTTGGCCATGCCTCAATCCCATGCTACGTGGCTGTGCCGCTGATTACAACTACTGGTGTGTGGTTTCCACGTCTCCTGGTATAATGCTCTGCATTCTGGAAGGGATGGGCTATCACACTGACTGCTGATTACAGGGCATACTTGGACCAGTGCTATTGCAGAGGTTGCAGCATTGCTGCACAATTAGAAGGCCGTGAAGACTTCCCAAGGAGTAGGTTAGTTCTGCTGTTTCATGTAGTAAGACGTAGCAGGAACTACAGGAACAAATGCCTCCTATCCATACTAACATATTAAAGCAAGGTCCAGTGCAGAAACTGCTAGAACAAAGATCAATGATGAAGAAAATGGTGTCTCACAGATGTCTGGTGGCATTTGGCACTCATGGTGACATTAGCCACTTGAAATAGGTCACACATACCATACATGTAAATTTAGTGTAGAACTTAGGTGGGGGGTTCGTTCCCCACAGTGCTCTTTACCACAGTTTGTCTTGTAAAAGAATGTAGTTACACAGCTCATTGCTTC